AGAACAAAGGCTGAGAACAATCTAATTTGATCAGCAGGCAACTGGTTACTATGACTATTTTGTGTGCAGTTCCATGCAATGAAAGTCTCTGCAGTCTTGAAAAAAAAAAAAAAAAAAAAACACTGCGCGTAATTACTCTTAACAATGTATTAGATGAACAAAAGAGTAGTGTGTGTAATCTGCTCTAATTTGGGGAGGGACAAGGAAACAAAGAGCATATTTTTACTCTGCGTCATTAGCTTATCTGTACACAAAAATTGTCTCTGAAAGAATGCTTATGATCGTGCTAAAGCATTATTTCTTCAAAGAAGAGGAATTTGGAGTATAAAATGAGAGAATGAAAAATATTTTTCTGTATTGGAGATAGCTGTTTTATGACAACCTAAGTGTTAAACTAAGATTGTTGGTGGCAGGGAATTTAAAAAGAAAATAGGTGATACCTAAAAGGTAAGTCTGTAGCTCAAGTGCCACAGCACTTGAGCAGCAATTCACATACACACAAGAATGTGAAAACGTATGAAGTATGGATAAAGTTAACACGAAATAGACTAGCGAAGTGGCTTCTTTTAGTTGAACAGTTACTGTAAGCTAATTGATGATATTTAAATTTAATACAGGAACTGTAAAGAAGGAAAAAGTTAAAGACAGGAGCAGAGGCATGAGTGAAATGGGCTGTACTAGCAATGTTGTGAGGGATTAGAACGGAAGAGGCCAGTTGACAGATACAGAATTTTTTTTGAAAATACATTCATTGTGGCTATGTAACCTAAACTAAGTGGTGGTTGGTAGAAGGTGAGATGTAAGATAGAAGAGTGTTGGGAAGTCAAACTTATCTTAAAATGATAACAATTTTCTTTAAACCTGCTTTAGTGTAAAGATGATGTTGTCACTGAATATAGATAAGAGAAGAGCAATAAAAGTCAAATTGTCATCAGTTCATAGTGAATTAATCCAAGCTGATTGAAACACTGCTAACCACACTGATTGAAGGGAACAGAATAATGAACAGTTTTACAGTTTGTGTAATACTAAGGAAGTGTAAATGATAACATCTTTATTTTATGGTATTTATTTAGCTGCTGATTGTCATAAAAGATTAGAAACATTAGAAACATATATATATATATATATATATATATTACCAAGTGATGCAATTCTTATTGAATGCTTTCATTTTCTTCATGATGCTAACCTCATGGCCTGAACAACTTTGTACTTTTAGCATTGAGAAGTCAGGCTGGAAATTCCAAGAATGTTCTGTTTGATGCAGAAAGAGGAAAATATTTTGCATATATTTATACCTTTTCATTTCCTAAATAAGAAATGGAAGAAAGCCTATTTGTTAAAACGTAGGTCTTTTTATACATGACTAAAAATGCACAGAGGCCTTTTAACAGGAAAACAACATTGTCAACATACTGTTTATAGATAATTTTGGAGTCATTATTTCCTAGGATTTGTTATCTATAAGTGATGAAACTTAAAAGGTTGTTAATATAACTAAAAATCCCCAAAAGCGCTAAAGAAACTGAAGAACCTAGTGCATTTTTCACATTTACATAAGACAATTTTCAATTTATTTTAGAAGTGGTTCAGTCTACCAAAAACACAACCAACAAACTATACAGATCAAGGAGAATTTATTACTGAAAAATTAAGTTATTTTGTTCTGTCACTTTAAATTTGGAAAAATATAGTAAAGGTAGAATGAATAAGACATTGCTTCAGATTTTAAAATCACTATTCATAAAAATACTTACCAAATTTTAGAAGCTTATCTGTTGAAAACTAAAAGGTTTAAATGATATGAAAAGCATTGGATGGAACAGGGCAAATGTTGCCAAATAATTTCTAACACTATTGTGTTTGCATTGTTATTTACTTTCACGCGATAGACATTTATTAAACCTTGTAATATACCAGTCACCTCTCTGTGTTCTGGAAATATAAATATTAATTTTACTTGCCATCAAGAAACAAACAAATTTAAGGAGTAAATGGACATTTTGAAGAGGTGCCATGGTAAGATTGAACCAAAGTGTGTTGGAAGATAATAGGTAGATAGGTAGATCAATAAAATTTTCTTGATTGGGGCAAGTAGATATCACAAAAGAATTGAGTAGGAATTGCATAGCAAGACTGGGAGAGATGGCCATCATGAAGAAATGTACAGACCTACAAAGGTAACCTGTTTAGCCAACTTCTGAGTTGCACTCTTAATACCATAGTAGTTTTAACCAGACCTACTCTACAAGAAATGTTGAAAGGCGTTCTTCTACAAGAAAAAACAAAACAACAAAGTGATAATAGGAATACAGAATCTAAAGTATAAACAATGTGAGACAACAGAATAATAAAGGGGAGGAACAAAAGGACAGAATCTCTATAGCTAAATGACAACAAGTTGATAATAGCACAAGAAGGACTATCTTAGGCATTGTAACCTTGGTATAACCTTATACCTGAAGTAACTGGGAAAAGAAGAACAAATGAAACCAAAAATCAGTAGAAGGAAGGAAATAATAAAAATTAGTGCAGAAGTAAATGAAATCAAAACCAAAAATAGAGTTCAAAAGATCAGTGAAACCACAGCTATTTCTTTGACAGGATTAACAAAATTGAGAAGTCCTTAGCTAGATTCACAAAGAAAAGAAGAGAATAACCCCAAATAAAAATAAGACATGAAGGAGGCAAAATTATGGATAAAACAGATGCTTCTTGAATAAGCTCTGAGTAAGTTGGTATCTTTCAAGGAAATTGTCTATTTTATTTAAATGAATAAACTTGTTACTAAAATGCTTTGATAACAGCGAGAGATATTTGACTCTTCCTTTCATTTGAAAATTTAAGGGCCATTGGTAAATACTAACTGACCTAATTTCAATATTGTTATGTCTCAGGAAATAGGAAGGCCTGAGCATGGAAGAGAGATGGGGGAACAAAAGATCAGTGGAGCAGTCAGTAACCAAAGCATCTGTCAGTTAAATTTATCATCTTATATGTGCACAGTTCATGGCACCCCAGAACAGTAACAGTAGTAACATCAAAAGCACTGATCACAGATCAGTGTGATGGATGTAATCATAATTTTAAAAAGTTTGAAATATTTCCAGAATTACCACAATGTGACACAGACACAAAACCAGTACATGCTGTAGAAGTCCAGCCAAGTCTAGTGCCGTAGACTTGGCTGCATGCAGGGTTGGAGCCAATTTGTTAAAAAAAGTTTTTGATAAAATTTTTTAAAACTTTGTTTAAAAATAAAAAGCAGGGCCTCCCCTGGTGGTGCAGCGGTTAAGCGGTGGGCTGCGAAGCTGCCTGCAGCCTCTGCAGTGCCAGTTTGATCCCCGGCCAGGCCTCCAGCGAGGGTCCCACATGGCACACAGACCTCTCCTGCAGCGCCCGCTGCTCCCCTCAGCAGCGTATTTCGTCAGTCTGCCTGTTCTGTTCCCCGCTCTGGCTCTGGTGAATTCTCTCACCCTCCCGTGCTTCTGACTGTACCCAGTGCTTGTATAAATAAATAAATAAATATTTTAAAAAATAAAATAAAATAAAAAGCAGTATCTGTGAAGGGTAGTAAAGTGAAATGTAATAAAATGAGGTATGTCTGTGTATATCTACAATGGAATATTATTCAGTCATAAAAAGAGGGAAATCTTTCCACTTGCAACAACTTTAATGGCCTTGAGAGCATTATGCTGAATTAAATCAGACAGAAAAACAAATACCTTATGATCTCACCTTTTTGTGGAAACTAAAAAACAAAAAAGAATACAGAGATAGAGAACAGATTGTTAGTTGCCAGAGACAGAGATTGGGCAAAATGTATTGGATCAAGTGGATCAAAGTACAAAGTTATGGACTAAGTAAGTAATGAGGATGTAATGTACAATATGGTAACTATAGTTAATAATACTATATTACTTATTTGAAAGTTGCTAAGATTCTTATCACAAGAAAAAAATCTGTGATACGATAACTAGATTTATTGTGGTGATCATTTTATAATATGGATAAATATCAAACCATTATGTTGTACATCTAAAATTAATATGGTTATGTCAGTTATACCTCAGTTAAAAATATTAAAGAAATATTTCATATTTTGTTTATGTTTTGGTTGTTTCAGGCAGAAGGAAAAATGTGATCTTTGTTAATCAATTTTACTTTGGAATAAGTTTTGCCTTTTAATTTAGCATAGTTTTCTATTAAAAAACATTAAAATTTTTAAATTCATCCATCTTTATTTAATGGTTTTTGTTTTGGTGTTTGAAGGCTTGTAAAAATATTTACCTTAATGTTTTCAAGGGCTTGTCTTATTTTTGCATTCAAATAGATTTTTAATATGAGACCCTGTACTATAGACAATTTGGAAAATAAGGAAAATAGCTTCCTATTTGGAAGGAAAGACCTGTAATTCCATCACCAAAGACAATGCCAATATACATTTTAACATATTTCCTGTTGTGTGTTTTATATACTTAAAATCTTAGTGTGTATACCATTTACTATGTTCGTCCAATGTGTTTGTTATATCATCAGCATTTTCCATGTACCTGTATAAGCTGCATAATTGCATTGTAATGACTGAATTATATTTCATCAAACGTTTATATTGTAACTATATTACCTTTTCATATATTGTTCAACATTTTAGTTATTTTTTTCTTAAACAAAGTACATAAAACAATTTTCAGGTAGGGCATTTTTAAGGAAGCTTTGCTTTATTGCACTTTTCCTTGATTCTATGAGAGCAAATAAATCCCTCTCTCCATGAGTCATACTTTACTCTCCAAGCTCACAACAGCCGATTCAGTAAAATTCAATCTGTATAAAAATGAAAAGAAAATAAAAACATCAGTTTTTTAATAGTTCAGTCCATGTCTTATTACCTGTATGGTTATAAATTGAAAGACTTTTTAAAAGCTTGTGTTTTAAGTATTTATTAACATGGCCTCTCAATTATTTTCTAATTATTATTTGTGCTTGGTTATTTTTAGGAAAGTTACTATTCAAGTCAAATACAACATAATGCAGAATTCTTTATCAGTACCACCAAAAGATCAAGGTAAGATAAGCCATGCTGAGGAAGATAGTTACGTGTATGTTATATGTTGTTTTATTTGATATCTTAATATCACTGTCCTCAAAGTGACTCATTATCTACAACTAAGAATAGAGACTATAATTATATATGAAAGTTGATTGCTTTGTTAAATTATTTAGTATATATGAGTATGAGTGCCTGTAAGGCTGTAAAGACATCTCTCCTTTACTGAGAACTGCTTGAAGGCAGGACCATCTCAATCCACACAAAACTCACTCAGTGCAGCATAGTATCTGGTATTAATAGATGGCTAATGGAATTACAGAGTACTGATTTTAGGGAATCAATTACATGTGCTTTAGTAAAAAGAATATAGACACATATTTATATTCATTCACACATACCACATATAAGTAGGAAAGGGTATTTGCTCATAACATTTCTTTCACATGTTCCTTCCCATATTCATTTGAAAAGCAACATAAGAAAAATTAGTTCCCTGCTATATGATTTGTAAAAAAGAAAATCATGATTTTTTAACAGGAGCTCCTAGAGCTTTCAGAAGAGCAGTTTACAGATAGAGAGAAAGAAAAAATAATTGAATTTTCCTCTCTAAGAGGTGAACTCTAACCTTTAAGAAGAATTCCATTCTTCCTCCTGTCCAACATTCTCTTCTACAAAAAGATTTGGTGTGTGTGAGAAAACCGACTTATTTAATGATTCAAATTTGGGCTGGCATAGTGGAGGGTATAATTTTTAGTGAATGGAGGGAATGTGCTATAAAGAACCCTTAACTGGAGCAAGTATTCTTTGATCTCTACCAAACAGAAAGTCATAACTGTTAAGTGGATGGAATCTGGGGTTGAAACTCAATTCCACCACTGAGTTTTGCAAACTTTAAGTCATATCACTTGAGTTAGGTTTCTCATCTGTAAAATATAAAATGAAAATAGTAAGCCTATCCTATAGGTTATGTGGAAATTAAAGGAGGTATTTGCAAATCACCCAGTATATTTCTGTTGGGTTACAGAAAAGTCATGACATATGTTTTTCTTTGAAAAACAGAAAAAATGCATCATGACTTTTCCGACAACCCAATAATTGCATAGTAGGCACATATAAGATGATTGTGGCGATTGCTCTTACTGGTTGCTATTATTATGTGGGCTTTGTCTGTGGAGACTGGTACTATGAAACAAGCATTGGTTGTGCCTTCTACTTTGGTTGCCTACTGACCTTAGAAGGTGAAGCATGAGCCAAGGGGACCATGGGAAGTAAACATGGACTAGAGCCCTTGACTTGCTTCTCATCCAGACATTTGGCCAAAGGAAGAGTAAAAAATCTTTGAGCCTCCCACAAGATCCAGCTTTGAACTCTCAGGCAAGAAAGGAGATGGGAATGAGAGAGATGAAAGTAAACACTAACAGGAAATAAAAAGTGTGAGCATTTCCCGTGATCATTTTCTGGTATATATCCTTCAGAAAATTTTTGCACTAGTAGATGCCTGATAAAGAGTTTTGAAATTCGGGCCTCCCCTGGTGGCGCAGCGGTTGAGCGCTGGTCTGAGAAGCTGCCCTCAGCCTCTGCAGTGCCGGTTTGATCCCCGGCCACCGGCGAGGGTCCCACATGGCGCTACAGACTTCTGCAATGCCCACTGCTCCCCTCAGCAGTGTATTTCGTTGGTCTGCCTGTTCTGTTCCCCGCTCTGGTTCTGGTGAATTCTCTCACCCTCCCATGCTTCTAACTGTACCCGGTGCTTGTATGAATAAATGAATAAAATCTTTAAAAAAAAAAAGAGTTTAGAAATTCATTATCCTACCTGATAGCTGCTTCATCTTAACAATCAAGGAGAGGCATGACTGCTTAGGAACAGTATTGAATCAAATGTCAGAGAAGCTCATTTCCCAGATCTACCTCCAATCAGTAGTTGAATCTCAAACAAGTTATTTTGCTCTTAAGTGTTGGTTTCCTTATTTTTCCTTATTAGTAAAGTCAGGATTACTAGACATTACCAGCTCTAAAAAATATGGGTCTTTGTGAGTAACTAAGCAGTGAGTTGATAAGGGGATGTGAAGCATGTTACCACTACATCTCTGACCTATTTTGCTTCTCATCAAGGTTTATTTTGTTTTGTTTTTATGGTCGCTTTACTAGACTGTTGCATAAGCTTAGTTAACTACATTCACTTGGCCAGAAAAAAAAAAAATCCCTTCAGGTCTAGCTAGAGAGTGAATAGTTTTAGTAATTTCTTTTCTGGAACTAAAGATGCTTAAGCTCCCAAACCTGGAATTTGATATGATAAGGAAACAGATAAAATAGCTAAAAGAGCTCAATTAATCAAGTGCTTTCAGTATAATAGTCACTCTAACCTACAACTTTATGACCTTTGGGTATTTAATCCTCACAATAAGTTAGATCATCTTTATTTTTTTTAAAGATTTACTTATTTATACAAGAACTGGGGTACAGTCAGAGGTGTGGGAGGGTGAGAGAATTCACCAGAGACAGAGCAGGGAACAGAACAGGCAGATGGACTGAAGACACTGCTGAGGAGAGCAGCGGGTGAGACAGGAGGGGTCTGCCGTGCCATGTGGGTTTCTCCCTTGCCGGCCGGGAATAGAGCCTGCCCTGCAGAGGCTGCAGATAGCTTCACAGCGCCGTGCTCAACCCATTGCACCACCAGGGAGGCCTAGATCATCTTTATTTTAAACGTTCAGGGACGTTAGCTACTTTATCAAGATCACCAACCAGTTAAATGACTAAGCCAAGATTGGATTCCAAATCTATCAAAATATAAAACTCACTATTTGTCCCTTGTGTCACACTGTAAACTTATAAAGAATACTTTGAATCTGTTTTTGTATTATTCCCTTTTTCTTTGCTCAAATATATAATGCTTAGTTACATATATGAATATTGAATGCTATGTTAAAACAAAGTGGGCCAAAATTAGAGTTTGTATAATGGGAAATTATATCAGTAAGGAAAAACAGATTAGTATATTGCATGAAGCCTAAAAATTGCCACATTATTTATTAATTTATTCATTTATGTGTTCAAATGCTTTGTATGTGTCCTGGATTGCTACTAATATTAGCAAAATAAAAAAAACAAAAACAAAAACAAAACTACATTATGATTCTGTTTATATTTCTGTCATCAAATATAATCTATGAAAGTTTCCTGGGTACATGTCATTTATTAATTAAAGGCTGAGTGATTTATTTAATAAGCTATTTATTGTTCTTTTGAATTTCAGACTTTAAATGCACACACACAGATTTTATTTATTTTTTTCATTTAAAATGAATTTTAATTCAACATTTTTTAATTACTATTTTATCTTATGTAATTATTACATCATTTTTCATTTTTTCAGAATGTATGCATTATCATTTTGGTTATTTTCCCCATACAATTGCACCCTCCTTTATTTTGACCCTAGTCCTTCCTCTCCCCTCCTCTCCCGCCACTCCCATAGTGTATCTCTGGTTTATAGTTGCTTGTTGATTTTGATTTTTACTTTGTATTAAGTTTTAGACATTTATGTATGAAATTCAGGTACAACAGCCCCAGCAGAATTTTCAGATTTAAGAAAAATCCACTGCATGACATACTATATTGTAATAAAATCTCATATGGTGAAGAGAGATTCACTGACCACCAGGAACTATGTCAGGTGCTATGACAGAGCATATAGAGTTTGGTCTTTTAGGAAACACAAAGTCCGTTTAGAATTAGAATAGCAAACTTGTTTCTTGTTTGTATGTAACTAGCTAGAGTTAAGAATGGTAAATTCATTAGTAGAAGTGAGTATGATTTACTTTTGTTGGTTAAGACAAAAGTTTTGAGGATAGTCAGGAAACACAACAGAAGATGACATTTCAGTAGGCCACCACACATGTGTAACAGTGAATCAAATAAATTTTAGGTGTCAACAGATGTGGGTTTATAGCTAGGAAAGAACTAGAGGAAAGTGATTAGGAATTCTAGTGCTTCTGTTTAAATTGTTTTCTAATTTGATAAAGTGATTTAACTTTGTGATATCACTAATTATAATTTATACCAAATTAAAAGTTTTCCATTATAATTTAGTGGTATCATTGTTCCTTTCTATGTGAAATATTACTTATAACTTCCAGAAATTTGCTTGCTTTGGCTTATTTTGTTATAATTTTTATCTTACTGTTTTCAGAGCTTAGGAATAAGGATTTTTGGTTTTCCCATAATTTTTTTGTTGTTTGATATTATAAGCTAAAAAGTGTGAGGATGGTGCAAAAGAACAAATTGTAGCAAGTGATAAATTGTTTTTGAAAAATAAAGGTATGAAAGCAACATAAACCAATTACAGTTCTTGTAACTTCCACTTTAAATTTGTTGAAGGAAAGACAAAACCACCACAGGATTGAAAATGCAAATGAATTTGTTTCCTTGTCAGATAAAGAAGATAAAGATTCAATAAAATACTTTTCAAATAATTATGGCATAGCCTAAAATATATCCTGTGTCTTATACATATGAAAATATATGCTTATATCTTATGGACATAAACATTTGGGTATTAGTTAATATAAAATTTTAGAACTTAAGTAAGGAACACTTGGGGTAGCTATTCAATATTCTTTTTTTTTCCTTTAAGTTTAGAAAAGTGATCTTATTTATTTTAGACTCATTATCAGTTAGGTTCTTTATAAGTCATTAATGAATTTTCTGTCTTTGGCAGACTTTAAAACTCCCTGGGATGTAGTTGGTCCTCAAATACATATTAAAATTTGTTTGAAATGCTTTAAACTCTAAAATGTTTTCCAAAATTATATTACTTAGATGCTATGAAAAAAATTTAATCTTTGTTTTTTGATGAAACACCAAGCTGGAGTTCTAAGGCCTGTGTGTTCATTTAACAAATATTTATTGCCTTTGGAGAGGCAGGAGCAAAGGGGAAAAAATGAAAAATAAGTTCTACTCTCTTACAACTCAGTTTCAAGTAATAAAACTGGGTTTATATCCAAGCAGGAACTTAC